AACGAGTCAGTGAAAAGCTAGAAATAATTATTGTGACATAGAATGAAACTGGAAGTGACTACTGCAGACAATGAAACAAGCTGAACATGCATCGGTTGTGTTCACCACTTGTAGCAGTAAAAAAAGTTCAACAAAAAAGTAAATGATAGGGAGGTTAAAGCAAACGACGAGAATAGCACATAGTTGGATGTTTGCCATACAAAGAAAGTAAAAAAAAAAGTAAGTGTGAGTCAATGAACTCAGTGCCAGATGGCCGAGCGGGAGTCTTTGACATTCCATTCGCACGCAGTGCGTCGTTGTTTGTATTTCAGAGCTTCTTGTCGTTTGTCGCTACGCGACAACTAAATTCCACCTAAACGAATAGCGTTCACTGCCAAGAGAGGCAAATAGGCGAAGCGCGAGTGATTGTCTCTAGCACGGTGCCGGGTGGGCATTACAATCGGGCAGCAGAGCGTGTCGCACTTAACCCAGTTTTAGGGCGCCAGAGATGTACGAAGACAGCAGCCAGCGCAGATGGGCTTATTCAAGAGGTATTGCGCGACTTGGCGCCTGAGTGGCTGTGACTGCGTTTCAATATCCCAAGAGCACTGACATTGTCCTTTTAGACGTTCAAGGTCACGCGATAGAAACAAATACAAGAACAGCGCACTGGTGAAAATAAACGGAAGAATAAATTGACTGTTCAAGACATCCCCTCTCGAAGGCAAATGACATTAGGTCGGAAAAACATTTTGTTTCATAGAATGGCTCATGGTATAACATCGAGTACCACGTATTTATATTTAGTGCATTATCGTCGCTACTTACGGGAAAGTGTTTAAAGGCTGAACTCTCTGGATGCCATCGTCGTGTCCAAAGTATTGGGATTACCATGCCGACATATGCATGTATACGAAGGAAAATTTCTGTAACACACGTATACGATAACGTTCGCATGAACAAATTACGTCTCTATATAAATGCGAGGAAAACACATACGGGAGAATATCACTGCAAATACCAGAAGGAAATGTTGAAAGCCAACAAACAAACAAGAAGTGATTGTCCAGTCTAAAGAACAGCCTGTTCCTTTTCTGGCCGAGTGGCGACCTTTAAGCTGCAGTCGCTACGAGAAGCGGTACCGTAATGGAGACGCCCGATGCATAACGAGGTGGCCTCGGCTCCCGACGTCGCCCTGTGATTACGGGCTCACCGCAAGAGCTTCGAGCAATGCGGACAAGGCACGCACAGATGGACACGCCTTGGGATTTCTTCTTTCTCTTTATGCCTTAAAAGCTACGGGTGTCCTAGATCTTCCTCGCCAGCTTGCCGCGAATATGTCTTTATAGTTGTATAAGCACACACAAATGCACAACGTGGGCACGCACGCATGGCATGCATAGTTTAGACGGTCTTGCCGAGGTTCTCTCAGGGCTATCTTTACGGGCTCGGGCCACCGACCGGACAGGTATAACTACAAACTATCCTGGGAACTTCTGTGCTGCGGGCGATTGGGCACAACAGCGCGCGGCGAGTAGTCAAACGTGATATGTGCTTCGACTTCTACCTTTTGTATTTCGCGGCGATGCGTCAGTGACAGAGAGCAGACTGCCCAGCAAGAAAGGCCGTTCCATAAAAGGGTATATTGTGCTGCACTTTTCCACCCTGTAGACGTGCTTTAGAGGGATTGCGAAACATCTCCCTAACGCCCACGATAGTGTTATCCACGAAGCGTATACTTGTGCGAAGCCCGCAATTTCTCGATCAACCACTCTCAGGATAACTAGTAAACACTGCATGCCTGTCTGATTTATTTTTCCCCAGGAATTGCACACATGTTCATTAATTGTGCCATGAGTGATTAACGTAATCTGGATGCAATATCCCTTTGTTTGGTTCAATCGTTCACAGTGCGCTATCCCGGCGAAATTGCACTACTTCGGAGGCTGTTAAACACTTTGTGTTTCCGATATTTCGGTATATCCACCCCAATCTAAAGAAATATGTATTTTAACAAAAAACAGAATTATTGTTAATCAGAAAAAATAGAATTATTGTATCAGAAATACAAAAAACAGAATGATTGTTATTCAAAACAATTAACTTTGCAGGCTATGCCCCGAAATCACTGTGCAATGCTACAATTTAGAGCTTTCACTGACCTCATGGCTGTTATGAAATTCGTAAAGACAAGCTAACTCCAGGAAAGGTGGCACAGTCTAGTAATGCAATAAAGAAAAATGGCGAAGACCACTCGTGTTGCCAATCATTCCTATATCTACCTAGCAGCCATGCGGGTGACTTACCCGGATGTTACCACCAGCTATGAACTTGTTTTACTATAAGGCACTCACTAGCCCATATGTCACTAGCCCATATGTACACACATAGCCCACACAGTCACTAGCCCATATGTACACGCTAGGTGCACCGTCGAAGCCGTACAAGTATTGTTGGTCACAGGATATAGAGATATAGAGAAGGGTAAAGGAAATAGAAAAGCATGTGAAGGCAACGAATTATCAAGCTAAGGAAATCATAGGTGGCGTTAGCTGTTTTTTTAATTGAATTGTAGTCATCATGAGATAAAACGTAACATAAGGGGGGAAGTTGTAACTTGCGTAGTTATTTTTCAGAACGATGAATGGACCAAGTGGCCTGTTTCTGTCTAACAAAAGCGGGTTTCTCAGTCCATTCTCCCTTCTTTAGTTCAACGGAGTGACAAGCAGGTCAAATAGAGGATATAGCTAGTTGGCTGCTGCTTCGTATTAGGATGAGTACAATGGTTCGGAACATGAGTGATAGAAAGAAACAAAAGTGAATAAGCAACACCCACTCCAGCTTTCTGTTAAGCTATACTACTATCCCGATTGATATCGGCGTAAGCAGTTTTTGCTTGCGCCATCAGTCATGTTGTGCCGGCGATTACCAAACGAAAAGGCCACCGCGATGATCGATGACACACTGTTCCTATCAGAATGCTGTGCAGTACTAAATGCAGGCTCAGCTTTTTCTTGGACTGTTTAAGACAGAGAAGAGAAAAAGCACGGTGTGGTCGCTTTCGAAGCTTTTCCCTTCAACGCATCAAGAAAATCAGGCTTCTTGAAATTTTTTCTATATAAAGAAATATATTTGATGTTTCTAGTGTCGACAGGCAAAACAGTGCCATAACTATAGACCTATAATCAGCATTAAAAAACGAGTAAGCTCATTAGGTCTAAAATACAGAATACGTTGTGTAATACTACAGTGTAATACTGTGTAAGAATACTAGAGTCCCGGCAAAAAGAAAAGTTTTTTCTGTGAGTGACTACAGCTACATAGACAAGTCTGGTTATGTTTTTTGATAACTTCATTCCTTCTTGGTTTCTATTATCTCTATAAAATTGCTTGTTATACACTGATATGCACCCACTGGTTGCCAATGTTCTACATTGTACTATATTATATAGTGAAGAAGTTTTCACATTATAATGTATGTCTTTCAATGTAAAAAAAAAACGAATGCAGGTTGGGGGTGATTAGGTCAACAAAGTATTAAAAAAATGCTGTTCGAAAAATATTTAATTGTTCAAGAAAAACCACACTATAAAGACGTGAGTGTCTAGTTATAGTATGAATAGCTGTACTAAATGTCTATTAAACGCAGTTGATGAAACTCTGGTTTGCCACTGTTTTTATTTTTAAATTTACACAGCACCTAATCCGACATTAAACGGGGGAGCCCTTATGTGCACATTTAAGTTCAAGCAACAAAATAACGAATTTCGAAGCATAGTGGTACTATGCAGAAGCCTAAAGCGGCGCGATAACCTAAATATCATTTTTGATGAGAGCATTGTTACGTGATATTCACTGAAAATTTCTTTTATAGGAAGCTAAATGCCCTTGCGATATCATATGAGAGTCCTTTTATCAAGCCAACATTGCTCTCTGATGCATGCTATCAAACGGTATTCCTCAAAAATGCTTCCGGCATGTGACTATACTCTTGCAAAAATACTTTTTTATGCACTCTTGAATTTTGGCCATGTTTACAAGCCAGCATAGTCTTGCTCATCTTTTAGTTCACTTCCATAAACGAAATGGCATAGACTTCTTGAAGCTTCAATACCATGATGGTAGCCTTACTAAATAAGCACAATAACAGCCACTAAAGTAGCTTCCTCGAGAGCGTTGAAGTTAGACATCATGTTTTAAAACTCCACCAGCACTGCTCCTATACCAATTTTCGATTCCCTATAAATTGGACCTGAATTAAGTGAACTATTAGCGTGGGGGAACACACGCAAGAAGTAAAGAGGCACACAGCATGAGCGTTTCTTGCTTTTTTAGTGTGTTCCCCAGCGTTTCCAGTTCGCTGAATGATTGTGAACGACCAGCTAGCCCACCTTTTTACCCTGTTGCAATGGACCTGAATATCTTGTCAATATAGCGCCTTATAATGAGTCACAGAAAGTACTATTGCTTACTTCAAGTATCCGCTAGCGTTCACGCTTCCTGAAGCCTTTATGCGTGAACGACGTGATACGGCATTGAAGAAACTAGTCTCACCAACACTTGTGAAATAATCGAAAGGCTAACTACAGTGCCAAATATTAACTTAATAACATGCCAGAGAGAGATGAGTTGGGTATGAGCGATTGGATCAGCAAACATCATGCACTTCAGCAAACAATGCTTTCATGCAGCTGCACAGTGAAAGCACTGATTATAACTGACACACGCGCGCATTCGCAATTCTTGAATTGTATCTCAAGTTCTGCAATATGATTTCAATTGAAAGGGTGTCATTATGCCTCGTTAGCTTCTGTTGTCTTACTAGACAACAGCAGCACGTAAAGGCGGCATTAAGAAAGCATCCAATCTCAATTAGATGAAATTAAATAAAAATTACATTTCTCATGCAACAGGAACTTCATTTGATAATTGGAGATGCTCAAGTACTGCAGCGGTGAGTTCCTTCTCAACAGCTGCGTACCTGGCGTCAAAATTATGTGTACGCAACGGAAGCTACTCACGCCTCACGGCCCATCCCTTGAGGTCCCGGAAGGCCTTGAAGGTCTTGAGCAATGCTGTCATGCAGTCAACCGAGACGTCGAGCTCCGACGAGCCTTCGACGACGTAGGGGAAAATCTCGTTGGCGACTGCGTCGATATTAACCTTGGACTTGTTCACTTGATCTTCCCACGAAGTATTGGTCATGACGTCCTGGAGTCCCTGAAATGGGCCCTGTGCATGGCCACCACGACTGACGGTGATGCGCTGGAAGAAGAGGACAAAGAGCGCGCAGACGATGGCGCGCCGCTCCATGGCACCTCGGAGAGTCCACCTGCTCGAAGAACTCCGCTAAGCGCTCAAGCTGCCGAGCCGGCGAGGGCGATCTCGAAGCGCTCCGCGATCGTCCGGAGCTGCCTCTGGCAGGGTGCAGAGGAGCCGCCGCATCTGGGCTACGTGGCCCCAATTATTGACCTGGTTCACCACGCGCACTCCGCGCGCAGGTACTTTCTCTGTGAGGCCTACCACCGCCCCGCTCCCTCGCCCCGCTATCCCGACCGCCGCGCTGGTTCGAAAAGTGTTCCTTTTCCTTCTCCGAACAAGATGCGAGAAGGTTCCTCCTTTTTCATAGCCCAAAGTTTTCTTTTTCTCTGTCTGTTAACTTTTGTTCATCGCCCTGTTGCTGGTTTCTGGCACTGCATCTCGGTGTCTGGTCGCTCTCTGGTTTTGTATTGTTTCGTATTTTTTCCCGTTAGATTTTTTTTCCAATGCGCGAGGCTGGGCTTGGAGCAGAGAGTCTGTGGCTCAGAGTTGATCTTCATCTAATGGTGTTTTAGATGAGGGCTCTTGTACGGCTCGTGATGCGACTTTCCTCCCTATGGTCAGACGGGCGCAAGTCGCAGGATACCGGGTGAATGCGCGTGCGCGTGTGTGCTGGCCGGTTGCCGTCGTTTTTGGAATACGGGGCCGCCGTCGTCTGGTACGAGCGTGACTGTAGAGTCGGCCTCCCTTTCCTGTACTCCGTCCGCTGCAGCGCGCCAAAGCATGGAAGGTACGACCACGTTGGCTGCGATCCTGCATACGTTTTGAACAGCCGGCTCTTCTTTCATTCTCTGGCTATACAAAAAGAGAAACAAGAAGGATTTTATGCCAACTGAAGACTTAAAAGTGGTGCCGCTGTTCTCGACATATACCTCTAAAAAAGAGAGGGAGGATCAGTGGCCCCTGTTATGGTAACAATGATGATCCCACTTGGGCATGGCTGTTGTCGAATCTCCTGCTTCCTTGTCGCCAGTTACAATTACATACCCTTTTTTCGCTGAACGGCGTGATAAGGTCACGCTTAATGAAATGTCGCTGTTTGGTTGGGAGGCGTAAGCTATAGAACTTCAACAACGGCACTTCAACCGAGGTATCGAATTTTGGAACAACGAGGAGTTCAAATAAGGGAATTGCGCATTCCGGAAAATTATTAGACATAACCCTAAATCTTCTGCAAGTTTTGAAAAGGAGTTGTCTTAAAAAGTGCCCATGCTAATGCTACTTTCTGAAACAACGTGGTGGCTGCGAGGGCCTTTTGTAAAATAAAGTTGCTGGAGTAGTTTGTGACTTCCATACCCGAGTTGCCGTGTTTGGCTACGTTGCGCCAATTTGGGTGCTTCCTCAGTCCGGTGGCGGCAGAAAAAAACATCTTGGCTACTTGGCTCATTCCTGGCTACTTTCATGTCCTCTCGATTTGAGCGAAACTGTCGATGTCCGGTGAAGGCGCAGTCATGGGTTCTCGTGTGCTAGTTGCCAAAATAGGGCAGCTAAAGCGTGCTTTCAGCTCACAAAATTAAGTTTGACACTCTTATTACGTATATATCGTCCTTTATAGAAAAAGATGGCACAGTAACATAAGCAGGAATCAGAGTGAATGAGCAAATGGCGCTTATAAAGTAAACATAGGAAGCTACATGTTTATGACCCGTCAGTCAAACAGACCTCATTCCCCCCCCCCACCTAAAAAAAAACAAACAAAAAATTGCTTTATGATACCTGACTGGAATTTAGGGAGCACTGTTGCATGGAGCCTCACCTCGCAGGCCATCTATAATGCTGAATGTGGTCTTAAACCATAATTCACCGTGAACAGGAAACGAAAGTGCTCGTTTCAAACGTTCTACCGTTACGTCATTCACTAACTAGTATTCATTCCACGTTCTATGATACGCCGCCGTATACAATCAGCAGCTGTTAAAGTATATTTTTTACCGATACTTACATTCAGCGTATTCTTGTTCCCCTCGGTTAATAGAAATTTTATGATACGTTGACCGAAATTACTGCTGTCATGGGGAACTTTTTGAGAAACCACTAAATTTAATTTCCCTTCGCGGTCTGTTCCGGCCTTGTTTTCCTTCACCAGAGTTAGAAATATCTGCCTCCACTGGACCAGTTCGGCTTCTATAGTGAAACAGAATTTCTGCTAGACTTTTCTTTAACAACACGGTCTTAATGCACGCGTCTGCCCTGAAGACTCGGTGCTCTTTTTCTCGTGAGATCCAGCCGTTGGCGTTTCACTTTAATGGTCATGCTTTCACGTGGCTGTCCTGCTTACAGTGCGGGAGAACCGAGGAACAAGAGAGCATCAAAAATAAAAAAGTACGAACGCTGCCCTCCAACCTCGTGAAACACGCAGTGGCCTGATGGCCTCTGCGCACGGTGCCACCATTCACTCCCTGTCTCTACTGCACGCACTTGCGCCGCGAAATTTCTCGTTGCCATTGTCCTAACCGTGGAAGTGTTTTCAAGAAGAGAGGGGGCCACGCGCTAGATAAATAAAAAACAAAGAGGAGGGGGGCACGTAGGTGATGAGGTGTTGGTTTGTGTCCGCGCCATTGCTAGATCGTGCTCAAGAGGTCGAGTGAGTGTCTAATGGTGCAATAGCGATGTCCTACCCTGCGCAGTAAACGAAGATGGTAGTACGCTAGCGTAATTGTCGGCACCGACTCTGCGCACTAGAACGACAGCAATTTGACATCAGATAGTCATGCAGCCACTGCGCGACGCGATGTCAGCCCGTGCCAATATGCACGCCATAGGTATAAAACAGAACTCAACAGCTGCTTCCTGTTACACACTTACAAATTCTTTTCTATATATGAATATATAATTTTTGTACACGGCTAACTGCGTATACATACGCAAAACACGCCGAAGTGACGTGATTCCGGGAAGCATTTACAATTTTATTTCTTGCCAATAGCTTCAATGCTTTTATGCTTCAGTGTGGTGGCAGTGGCACGGCAGCATGTCCGCTTTTCAATGGGAAAGCATTATATGCCCTATCAAGCGTGAAAATCAGCGTCCATATGGTTATCGTCGGCAGTAACAAGAGATAGTGAAGGTTTAGTTGGCCCATCCGAAAAGTTCTGGTTGTGGAATTTCAGCACACGCATGCCCAAACTATCACGTCACGTGACCAAGCAAAACTTGTAAGCTGCAAGGACACATCACGGAATGATGTTGTCGTGTGGCCTCTACCATTTCGCTTCCGTCGAAGTGAGACTGCCGTTGCTGGGATCGAACCCGCGACCTTCTGAACAGCATCCGAGCACCGTAACCGTGACACCACCGTGGCGTATCGTGCAGCACTATGCACCCTACGAAGAAACAAAGCAAAAAAAGCAAAACACAAGTAAACAAAAAGCAAGTATACAAAATAAAGCCAAACGCAAGCAAGCAAAGCGAAGTAAGAAGGCAAAGACCGTTGGTGGGGGTGAGCTTCGATCCTATGACTATCACCTAATGCTCAGAAGCCGAGTATCCAATGCACTGAGATAAACATCCACACTTGCCGTATGCGAGCATGTAGGAACCATTGGCATCGGCGGCGTTGGTGTCCGCGCGACAAGCGCGTCTCTTCAAGTGCCGGCAAAGATCACTCACTCCCTGTGATGGACAGCGGACGTGTGCTCGCAAGGTTGCGATGCCGTCTAGGCGAGAGCCTTTCAAGGTATGTGAGCGGCAGCGTAGGAACATTGAGCAACAGTGTCAGTATACCGACTACAGTGGAAATCAGAATGATTTGACGCGCAGATGAATATGTGTAAGGAGTATTGTACTTGCCGATCACCACACATACTTCCCATCGTTTCAACAACAAAAAAATCGAAGACATCATTAGGAAGATCAAATAACAGCGACATAAATGAAAGTCGACCGTGGTGAGCGAATCGCACAATACTTGTACATAACTAGGTAATTTCTGATTATACTTATTAGAAGTTGTTTTGCTTTGTATTGTTATGGTATATAGTCACCATCTTTCTTTTCGGGTGCACGTTAAAGAACCCCAGGTGGTCAAAATTTCCGGAACCCTCCACTACAGCGTCTCTCATAATCATATGGTGGATTTGGGACGTTAAACCCCACATATCAATCAATCAATCAACGATCTTTCTTTTCAATGGTATCGACGCATCTGCGGAGAGCTACCATCTGTAGCGCTGTAACGTTGGTATACCCTTGAAAACATATTGCCATAAGGGTGATTTACCATGCACTCAAGGTTACCTGATTATTGTGGTTATAAGCGAGTGGTGATGAAATTCGTGGGAATTATGAACGTGAGAGTCGTTGCCGGGCTGTCATGCTGAGCATTGGCCTGTGGGCATTGTAATGTAACAGGAGGCGCACATTAGTATATTGAGTAGGTCTGTACCGCCATATAGACGTGGTCTTTTACTCCGCCATGCCGAGTAATGCGTAAAACTACCTCCATGTAAAGTGACAGCTTTAAGAATTTCGCTTCGAAGAAACTCCGGCACTGGTCCTGGCGTCGCCGACTTCTTTGGGAGCGAAAAACTGGCGTTCTCCGTGCGCAATAAAATCACGACACAATAGAAATCAGGGGTTTGAGCCGGAACAAAACCTGCGCATCAGCGTGGAAATTCGGTGTTCTACCACAGATCTAGTTCACTGTTTGTTAGTGATTCGGAAGGAAACCCTATACCAGCGTGATCGAATGCTTTCTCTACAATCGAATTCAGTTCATGTCTGCTAACAATTTCTTTTAGTCAACTTCTTCTGCAACTTCTGGTGCGCCACAACGCTCAGCACATGGTTTTTCGTTATTTAACTATCTAGAGGATGAATTGACATGTAACAACTGACTGTCAACAAATGTACAATCATGATATTTTCGCGCTATTGTGCTGTTTTTACATTTACATTCTCATGCACAATGAACCCTGTACTTTCCGCTCTCTTGTCATATAACTATTTTGGTGTTCATATGACTGATGATCAGTCATGGCAAACTTCACAATGAA